TGAAATTAAACTTTTTGTATTTTTTTTGTAATGGACCAGTCTCTCATACTTTCATCTTATATTTTCAAGGAACAGTTGATCAGAACGGTCAGAAAAACTTGTCATCAAAAAAAATTAAAAATAATAATACAGCCCAGTTCCCAAACGGATCCTCATTACCACTAAGCATAAATCACAAACACTAAAACTCAACAGAATTGAAAAACCGTAATAATTTACTCAGGCATTTTTACGCAGGTCTACATTTACACAAGTGACAGGATGAGTCAAATGACCTGAAGGCTGCAGTTTTACTGAGAGAAGCACAGCTTATATCGGACAATCCACACAGTCCAGCCGTCAAGCAAAATACATGATCTGCATTAGCCATGGATAATACACAGTAGAATTATGATGACTAAACCATTATGACTAATTCCCTTCAGGCATTTTTCTTTTCATGAATAAAAGCAGGTTTTACAATACCTGGTAACCTCAATTATTTATTTATTTTGTTTTAACAGACTTCTTCCATATAGAAAAAAAGCTTACCTATTCTATGTACCAGGTTTCTGTAAACCATTTTCTACTAATTACTGATATCTTCTAAACTATTTCCTTGCTACTGATTCAAATCAAGGGCATAATCCAAACAAAATTGCAACTGATTTCCCTTGTTTAAGCTGCTTTCCAGGCATGATGGAAACACCTGGCTAGAATTTGGCACATTGTATTTTAAGTCCGTAGCCTAATTAGACAAACCTGCTGGTCAGACGGAAAGCTATATTTACCTTAGAGTTGAAAGCTTGCTTCTGTGTGTCCTCCTTCTTGGTTACCATGTTGAATATATTTCAAAAAGTACAGTCGTAAACGTGTCTAATGTAAAATCAAACCTGAGTTAACCTGTAACACAGATGTTGGTGTCCAACAGGTGTTGTTTTTCCTGTATCTACAGGAGCAGGATTAATGGCGCACTACTCTTTTCGTCTGTTGAAAGTGACTCTCTCTTTCCGCTCTCCACAATGCTGACACATACCACAGCCTTCCCATGCTCCTCCCCTTCCACAGGTAATACCAGCAAAAGTGCTCTCATTATCTCCCTCTATCTCTCTGTCTTGCTCTCATTCTCTGTCATTATTTTGTCAAAGATCTTAGAGCAGTTTGTAAAACTGGCATAGTTAGGACATAGTTAGTACTTTATTTTTTTTTTTCAATTCCATGGCCTGTCATTGTATTTATGTGTCATAACTGTAGTCATTGTGTTCCTATGTAGATCAAATGCTTTGGCTTCCTCTATACACTGAATAACTTCCTCCTAATAACTTTCCAAATGATACCTGTCTGTAAAAAAAAAAGTGAATGGTGTGACAGTAATAGGGTGTTGTGGGCAGTTATCCCAAGGTGTTGCTATGGGGTAGATATGTTGTTTTGAGTGTTTTTGTGCAGTTGCTAGCATGTGAATGTTATGAGTGGTTGCTAGAGTGTTCTGGATTGTATCTTAAGCTGAATATTCTCTCACTTTTTCACTGAAAACTGGGAACATTAATCTGCTTGGTAACATTAAACTGCAACATTTCAAATGTCAGAATAAAACAACAAAAAATAGATGTTTACGTATTCTGCTGCTGTAATTTTAGGGTGTTGTGTGTGATTTCCAGGGTCTTGTTGTGGTTGCTAAGGTCTTCTGAGTGTTTTGTAACATGTTGCTATGAGGTTGATAAGGTGTTTTGGCTGGTTGCTAGGCAATTGCTTACTGGCCCAAGTCAAAGGAGCCCAACCCTAAACCCCTATGATAATCTGAAATGTCTCAGGACACCTCAATTTAAGTCTGTGGGATTTTTTGCTTTTATTTTTGTCTAGGTTACATTGCCATTCAAATGTTTAGGGTCTGCTGTTATGATCAATTTAATGCATCCTTGCAGAATAAAAGTATTAAAAAGCATTAAAAAAAGTTACAGACCCAAACTTTTGAACAGTAGTCTAAGTCTGATCCAGGACCGTCCTTAGCTGATGCAGGACCCCGTGCGAGGTAGGGAGCGGGGGCCCCCTCGGTCTGTTTGCCGTGCGGCCGCACCAGTTGCACCCCCTAAGGACGGCCCTGGTCTGATCATTTAGAAAAGTAATAGCCTTTCCTTAACAAGCCAAACAATTCCATTCATGTCTGTAACACAACTGATGCTAAAAATAATGTAAACCCCCAAATCTCTAATCCAAGTATGGACAATAGTATTACTACATTTATGTTAGAAATGTTTTAAACACTTGTTGCGCTGCATGACCCATTAAACGACTACAATAACACATGAAAAGCCAGCGACCCCCAATGTAAACCGAAACTCCCTAAACAAAGCAAGTAAAAGCACTTAATAGCATTTAGTTAACATATTCAGTTAAGCTTCAACCAACAATATCCCAAAACTGCATGGGCACTTCGGACAATATTTGTATATATAACGCAACATAGCTTACAAAAATCATTTATTCAGTCTTTTCTTCATATGCTACACAAGCCAACTTTCTGGTGCTTTTCATATTTTAAAGATATTATACCAACTTGTTGCATAGGTGATAGAGAAGGCCTGCAGAGATACATTTGCCTTTATTTTATGCTTTCACTATCAACATGGCCACCTTGATGACTCCATCTTAATTTACATGACAAAGAGGGGAACAGGCTCACATCACTCCTGCGGCTACAGCCACCGTTATCTACAATGGAACATCTTGCACTTGTTAGACATGGCACGCATAAAGTCTAAAAGTGATGAACACCGGGATGAAACAAACGAGGAGACGAATTGCTCCAAGCACAATGCATTTAACAAACCAAACCTCTCAAGAGATAAAGAATTGTAGCAACGTAGTCACCATTATTCAAGTAAACTCTTCCATTTATATTCTTTGATAGCATACTTTGTTAAATGATCAGCCACAAGCAAAGAAAGAAAATCTAACTTACCTAATGCAACATGTAAAATAATTATAAAATGTCATGCATTATATTTCAGGGCCCCTCATCATGTGTGATCTTGTCTGCAGCTTTTACTACGAGAAGCTTTCATCACAAGAAAATATACATCTATGTTTTTAACAGCACACTGCATGGTACATCTATTGACTTACCTCTTATAAACTCTTGAGATGCACAGGAGAGGAGAGAGTGAAACAATAAGCAGAAGGTAAAAAAGGATCTGTGTGACTTTGTCAAGGCCTCACCAGACAAGTGAAGTGGGACTGCAGCTCTTGGTTGTCTTGACGACGGATGCTTTTTCAAACAAATCAGCCAATGAAACGCGCACTGGTCGTCATACAAAAGGCCATGTGACTTTCTGGTTGCCTTTCAACAGGAGGAGACAAGAAGCGCAAGGATTATTGGCCTGGGAATGACAGCAGTATGATTTTTCTTTACTCTTTTTTTTTTTACTCTGTTTTTATGATGACTGCAGTCCCATAACTATAATAGATGTCTGGAATATATTTGAGCTTAAATAGCGACTGGAAGTGTGCGCCTTAAGGCTACGGAGATGAAAGATAGCCACCTTGTGGACCATTTGGAGAATTACCTCAGTGGACCTCTATTTTGAAAATTAAGGAATTAAATCAAGAGTATTTTGAAATAATAAATCACTCAGTGCCTCAGCCATGAGACATATTTATTTTAATTAAGTATATTATGAAAAGAGAAGAAATCACTATCCATACCTGAGAAAGACAGTAATGACACATTTATAGCACATGCTTACATCACATGCTTATCACTGTATTTTCGTGGGTGTGAAATCAACGTATATAAGAAACTTAAAAACAGAAAAGAAAAAAGAAAAACAACTTGGCTATATGGGCATTTTTCTTTAATAATGAACAAGATGAAAGAAATAATTACACTAAATGAGAGCGAGAGAGAGAGAATCATTCATCGAGTGTCTTATCAAGTGAAATTCCCCTAATTTCAGTGATTTTTTGTAACTACTCAATAAT